GGTAATGAAACTGCATTTCGAGGAAGAGGACTTGTCGTAAAGACAAGAGTGCAGTGCGCTCACCAGTAACTTGGAAGGGACAGCCCTGAACTGTGTCACGGTCAAGAAGCAATATCAGCGTGACACAGCCGAGAAAATCGTCAAAATCTTGTTAAACCGTTTTGGATCAGGGGTGCAGGGGCACCAGATGATGATGCGCTTCGAGAAACGGAGGCAACGAGAGGATGAAACGATAGACAAGTTTCTAGACGACTTGGAAATGCTGAGAAGACGCAGCCAACCGGATGAGTCAAACCGAAGGATGAACCTGGCAGTAGCCTCAAAATTCATCGATAGTGTGAAGAATGATGAACTTCGGACAATGCTAGCAACGCATTACACACCACTATCAACCAATGCGCTAACACCAGAGGAGTTGAGGCTCAAGTCAAAAGAATACTTTTGTTGAAACCTCCCTCGAGATCTGGATATTATAAGAACAATTAGGGCAATTTTAACAACGGACCAGCTAACCAAGGGAACAACTGGTACAAACCGAGGGATGATATGGACAAGAGACGCTCTTGTGCCAATTGCAGTTCAACGGACCATCATGTGTCAGCATGCCCAACTTACAAACAGGGCATGAAAGCAATAGGCTTTAGCCTCGAGGACGAAGGTGCGTCAGAAGTTGACCATGAGAATTTCATGAGAGGAGTAATTGCAAAATTTGGCCCGAGGTATTTCTTTTGCAACTTGGAAGGTCATTTTAAATCAGACTGTCCGCAATTCTGGGATGCTGCGGCAGACATCAAGCATCCAAGGCATGAGGAAGCTTTGTCAGGAGTGAAAGCCAGCAAGGCTCGCCTGTTAAGTGAAGCGGAGGCGCGCAGAAAAGACAAACCGCAAGAGCTGGCGACGAAGAAAATGCAAGCGGTAACTGAAGAGACATGTGATCCGGAACCAGTGACTGCGGTCGATGACTTCAAGATTGATTATAGGGCAGCCACGAGGGATGCTCTACATAGAGCGCAGCAGGAACTGGCGACGAAAGAGATCGAACAAAAGGTGAAACTTGAACTGGAAAATGAGAAACTACAGGAGAAACAGAATACCTTCGAGGCAACAGAAATTCGAAGAGACAAATGCACCAAGTAGTTTGAGCATGAAACTTAATGTGATCTCCGGTCAGAGGTTCGGCATGGTGCCGCAAGGAAGCAAAATACAATCGATAATCTCGGTAGCAGGACACCAGGTAATCAGAAATCTAAGTGAACCATCAGAGTTCACTTTGATGCATTTGGACACATATGCAGATTAGCTGAGGCAGGTGGCACCACGCACTGATTCGAGGGCTGTATGAGCACTACTAACAACGGGTGGCTCGCGAATAAAAAACTTCATGGACGCTACGTGGAGGTCTATGGACCGTATCAAGTGATGCTGAACGTAGATGGAATCAGGATCTACACTAGGACTTACGTGACAACAGATAGTGACCAAATAGGGCAGATCTATTTGGCTGAGGAGGAACTCAGAGTCCGCAGGATAGGCCATGACGCTATGATGGAACAAGACGCAGTACACATTGGGTACGAAGCAGAGGTGACTGCACATCTGCTCTACACCAATGACAAGAAAATCGGAGTCACAGGGTTTCTGGACACAGGAGCGGTAGTGAGTGTGATTCCGACAAAAACTTGAGAAAGAATGGGCTTCACGAGGGAAGATCTAATTTCGACGAATCTCCGACTGGCCGCCGCCAATCGAGGAGCTATTTACGTAGCCGAAAGAACGCCGATAACAGTTTTCCACATGGGTGGACGGGATCTATGGATGAGCTTCCTGGTAGTACAGAATGTAGACGACGCCGACAAACTCATCTTGGGCAGAGATTTTGTCAGGACTTTTGACTTGAACAACGGTCTAAACCAGGACCGGAGGTATGTTAAGAAACCAATTAGTAGGATAATAACAGACGAAAACAAGGTGTCATTTTTCTTAGATAGAAAGGTAAAACTACAGCCAGGGCAGGCTGTGGTGGCAATTTTTAGAATGAGGAGTTTGAATTCGTTAAGCGATAGCAAACAGCTTTGTTTAGTACCGAATCCAAATAGTCAGAGTTCGGTGATTTTAGGCCGGAGCTTCTCGGTAACGCGAAACGGACTGTGTGTCAGTGTGTTATTGAACACACTGGACACCACGGTTTCAATCCAGCGTGGAAAGAAGCTTGGTTACGCTTTGCCGATGAGGACCGACTATGAGGAGACACAAAACTTGAAGAAACATAATGTGAAAAACTGTCCTTATCATGCCAATAAAGATTAATTTTTAAAGAGGATTAATGAATTAAAATCTATTCACAAATTGTTTTCAATGAAATCCGAAACGGACGACGGTTTATTGAGCTGCTCGATTTTTCCGGTTTTGCCAGAGATAGAACATTTAAAAGTGATGCCAAGTTCTTCACAACATTGGACTTGGGTTCGGGCTTCTGGCAGGTCCTTTTGCGGAAAAAGGATAGAGAAAAGACCGGATTCGCGTGCGAATTGGGGTTGTACCAGTGGAAGAGGATGCCCTTCGGCTTGTGCAATGCAACGGTCACTTTTCAAAGACTGATGGCTCAGGCTTTGACAAGAGTGACTAAGAAGTACGGAAATCTCGTGATGACCCTGGAAGACCACATTGATCGGCTCGATGAGGTCTTTGGATGCATGAAAAGAGCAGGCTTGCAGTGCAAACCATCGCTGTGTGAAATCCTTAGGGATTCGATCAAGTACCTGGGAAGAATGGTGGGCAGGTATGGTGTGAGGCCCGACCCGGAAGCAGTAGAGGATGTGTTGACATTGAAGGCTCCGAGAACGGACACACAGCTAATGAGCTTCCTAGGGTTTGCCAATTATTACCGTGAGTTCATCAAAGGATATGCAGACAAGGTGTATCCAATGCAGAGGCTGATGCGCAACAAAGCAAAGAAGTTCGAATGGAACGATGAAGCACAAGTTGCCTTCGAGAATATAAAGCGGGAACTGTGCGAAGCGTCAGTACTAGGCATGCCTACAGAAAAGGGCATGTATGTTCTTGACACAGACGCGTCGGTAGTAGCCATCTCAGGAATATTGCATCAGGAACAAGAGTGGAACGGAAGAACAGTTCTCCGTCCCATTGCATATGGCAGCAAGGTCTTGAGTGACACTGAGATGAAATATGGTGCACCAAAGGCAGAAATGTTTGCAGTAGTCACTTTCGTGGGAATGTACCGTGCATACTTGGGGAGCGCTCCCTTTAAGTTACGCGTGGACAACAGAGCGTTATCCTGGTTGAAGACCTACTCGATGGATCAGTGTTATATTGGTAGATGGATAGTAAGATTGGATGGCTACCACATGATAATCGAGCACAGAATGCGTGATAAACACCAGAATGCAGACAGCCTCAGCAAGAAAACTGATTTCTATGAAAGATTGGAACAGAAGCAAGCCAATCAGGCAGAAATAAAGGAAGGATTCTCGTTTCTGGACAAAGAAACTTATGAAGCGCTTCCCTTAACGAGATTGTTGGACAAGTCTGGACATCCAATTCCAGTGCATCCTGAGTTACCTGTCGAGAAAGCAGCCGAGATAAAAATCTTATCCAAAAGGGACCCGGTGCCATTGGATCTGTTGCTGCGCTCAAACCTGGTCCAACAGGAATTCTCACGCATGAACATAAACAGCCTCTCATTATTGGATAAAACAGTGCAGGTCACACCGCAAGTGATGCGGATTCTGGGAGGATTGTTAGAGAGAGAAGTGACCAGAGACGCCCCAGAGTGGGCAGCAGCCATTACCGAAGCCGTGTCTGTGGAAAAAGAGAAAAGGTGGACCGAATTTGTCGACACCTTAGAGTCTTCCAAGGACTACAAGAAGACGTGGGGCATCCTTGGCTCCATCAGCGGCAAGCCGGACTCGTGCTGCCCTAACGAGGCGATCCGGCACAACGGCAAGGTCCTTGTCTCTAACATTATGCCAAGGTGAGCAAGCTGGAGTTCTCTAGAGAGGAAAGGGAGAAAAACAGACTTGTCAAGATCAGAGGCAACGCCCACAGCGTGGACGACAGCTCCACAGCAGAATTCAGCATTGAGGAGCTGAACAGAGCCATCAAGAAGATGAGGAAGAACGGAGCGGCTGGCCCCGGCGACATCCCCCCCCCCCCCAGCTTCCTGAAAGCATTGGGACCTCTAGCGAGGGGGGAGTTGCTGGGGATCTTCAACCAGTCGCTCCACGAGTCGGAAGTACCGCAGGCTTGGCGAAATGCGACCATCCTTTGCTGAAGGCAGGGAAACCAGCGGGCTCGATCGAGTCGTACCGACCCGTCAGCCTCACCTCCTGCATCGTGAAGACCAGGGAACGGATGGTTCACACTCGTCTGTACCATCTGGCGGAGGCCGGGGGCATCTTCAACCATTCGCAGGCTGGCTTCAGGAAAAACAGAAGTTGCGAAGACCAGCTCCTGCGGATGATCCAGGACGTCAGCGACGGCTTCCAAGAGAAGAAACCGAGACGGACCGTCATGGCTCTCCTGGACCTTTCCCGGGCCTACATCAACTCCTTGCCCGATGAGATCAAAGACCTTGCCAGCGATAGTCTCTTCGCTGACGACCTCACCATCTGGTCCAGCCACAACAACAAAGAAGAAGGTAGCAGATACGTCCAACTGGCCGTTCAGAAGATCGAAGAATGGTGCAAGAAGAAGAAGATGCTCCTCAGTGAGAAGAGCGTGGTCACCTTCTTCTCCTCTAGCTCCGTGGACGCCAGATGGAAGCCGGACATTACGATGGGTGTAACACCCTCATGTTCAATCCCTGTCCCAAACTCCTGGGGCTGGTGATCAACAGGACCCTGTCCTTCCAGCAGCACGTCGACAAGGTGGTCGACAAGGTTCGCAAACGTTGCAACCTCCTGGCCTGCTTGGGTAATTCAAACTGGGGCTGGAGGAAGAAACCCTTGGGGAGAGTGTTTCTTGCCAACCAGCGGAGCATCATGGACTTTGCCGCCCCTGCCTGGCAACCATGGCTCCCCAAAACCCAGATGGACAGACTCGACCGCGCCCAGAACCAGGCCCTCCGTCGGGTTACTGGGAAAGCCGCCTACACTCCAGTTGAGGCCCTGCGTCTGGACAGCTGCATGCAGAGCTACCGGACCATCTCCCAGAGACTCACAGCCATCTCCCGGGAGAGAGCCTCCAGGTGCCCCGAGGACTACCCCGCTCGGATCGCCCTGGAGAAGGACCAACCTCACCGGCTCTGCAGAGACAGCTGGAGAGAACTCAGCAACAGGATCAGTTCCACCCTCCCCAACGAGCTCGCCGACAGGGAGCCCCTTCTCACCATTGAGGAAGAGGTTTGGACACCACAGAGACGTTGGCGGGTCAACAACACCGGCGGAGGCTTGGGACGCTCCGAAGAGACGAAACAGAGGGCGACCGAGAGGATTCGGAACATCAACGCCACATGGACCATCTACACAGACGGTTCCGCCAAAGATGGGACTAGGGACGGAGGGTCAGCAATGGTTGTTACGACAGGTGACCCCCTCGACCCTCAAACCATCTTCTCCGAGACGATTCGCGGCAGGATGCTCACCTCCTCGTTTGACGAAGAGAAAGAGGCACTGGGAGCTGCAGATAGGTGGTTGGAGGATAACACCCCTAACAACAGTGACAAGGGCCTTATTTGCACTGATAGCCAAGCCCTGACATCGGCCCTGGCAAACGACAGCAGAGAAGTGAGCAACATCACTAGAAAACTTGACACGCTCAACCGCGAGATCATCATTCAGTGGATCCCTAGCCACGTGGGCATTGTAGGGAACGAGAGGGCCGACGATCTGGCCAATGAAGCCTCTGGGTTGAAGGAGAGAGCAAAACCAACCACCTACAAGAGCGCCGTAGCCACCATCAAACGTACGATTAAAGACCCAAGCCCCTCTCACGTCAGAAAAGCTCAAGTCTACCAAAAGCTGTCAAGAGAACGTGACGAAAAGACCCTTCTGTCGAGAAGAGACGCAGTCATGCTAGCCAGGCTACGCTCTGGACACAGCATGCTCTTGGCCGGGTATAGGACCCTGATGAACCCCGCCGAGAGCCCCTCCTGTCCCAGATGCGAGGAGGACAACGAAACAGTGGAACACTGGCTCCTCGATTGTCCGGGGACGCTAGCGACCAGACAAGAAATTTTCGGACGTACGAAGGTGGAATTGTCAATTCTCACCGAGGACCCAGAAGGTGTGGTCGCGCTGGCGAAGCGGACCCTTGGGAGAACTTCGGCGCACCCACAATGAAAGAAAGAAAGAAGCAGCAGCCATGGCATCACTGACAATCAGTGGGAAGATGAAGATCATGCCGTCAATACGACAACACAAAGCCAACGAGAGGGATTGTAGGCCAATAGTTCAGCAACTAGTATCCTCAATACCCCACGAGGTCTTAACAAGTACTTCATACGATCGGAAAGAACAGGGGAACGATACGCAAACGAAAACCGTTACCTTTGAGGACCACGATAGAGAAACTGAGAAGCTTGAACAAAAACTGGTGCAAGATTATTTTTTCGGGAGACAAACGGTGGAAAAAGCCGGCGAGTTCAAGATCAACACCCGGGACAAGGAAGTTTGTCCGGGGAATCTGAGATAGATGAAAAAAATCCTGACGAGAAACAGGACCTGGGCAACAAAGTTTTGTCCGGGGAGTTCAGATGGATGTGAAGAAGGCACGGACCTGATCTGGAGGAGGGTGCACACTCCATCACAGACTCTTCAACAGATGACAATTCCCGAAACTCAGGAATTGATACCTACTCAGACAGGAACTCGAGCTCGGGATCAGAACTGTCAGAACTAGCGATCCACACACTACTAGTGGAAATTCGAGCAAGGGATCTGGATAGAGAGGTGTACCAGGACCCTGACAGTGATCGCTACCTCATACCGAGCGAAAGAGTCTTTGACAACGCAGCGGTTGATTTGGAAACGATAGCGGTATCGAAACGTTCGATAAGTCTGTTGCCACAACAAGAGGTAGTCAGGACTGATCTTCAGCCGTTCAAACAAGAAACACCGCCGTTTGCGAAGATTTGGTGCGTCAAGATGGAAGAAGACACACACCAGCCTAATGAGCTGAATAGTCAAATGAGGGTCATGAAGACATACTTGAAGGCGAGATACAGACTCTCGGACCTACTAAGGGCGCAGAGAAATGACCGCATGACAAGCAACCTGAAAAAGTGGATAGAAAATGGTGCACCAGACAAAGGTGACCTGGAAGAAGTCAATTGCCGTATCCTGAAACAGTACTTCATGCAGAAAGAGGGGAGGTTATATTTGAACAAGGACGGAATTGTGGCTTGCAAGAGAAGAGAAGAAGACAAAGTCCTATACAAGTATAATGCGATAGTATTGCCACAAATCTGTCAGACAGAACTATTATTCAGGTCGCATGATCAGATGGGCCATCAGGGGATCTACAAAGTGTATCAGAGGATCCTGAAGCGCTTTGAGTGGCCTGGAATGAAAAAGGCATGTGAGAAGTGGGTAACAATGTGCCTATGATGCCAACAGGTGAAGGATCCAAGGAAATTGCTATTTCCTTTACAATCTATCGAGTCGTCTGAATTCAACGAGGTGGTGCAGATAGATCACCCAAAGATATGCTCGACAGACAGTGGTTATAATAAAATCTTGGTCATGATAGATCACTTCACGAAGTATGCAGAGGGCGTGCCGTGCATGACTGCCTCGGCAGAAGAGACATGCGACCACCTGATCAATTCGTGGATAGCGAGACATGGTTGTCCGATGACGTTTCAATCGGATAAGGGAAAGGCTTTCGTAGGAGAGCTTACGAAAGAGCTTATGAGTCGCTCAAGCTCACTCCACGACATACCGCCCCCAGACGTATGGCTTAGTGGAAAGACAAAATAGAACGTTAGTGTCGATGCTGAGGGTATATTGTTCCAGGTACATGACCGATTGGGACAGATACCTTCCACAGGTGATGGTAGCCTATAATAGCACGCAACACTCAACCACTGGAGTTAGTCCACGCATGATGCTAACTGGACACGAGAAGACTTTACCCTTGACCTTTTTCTACCCAGAGTATGAGGGAAAGAAAACGTCTCCACAGGTCTACGTGAGGAATGTGATCAGACGTCAGCAAGAACTGAACGATTTGTGTAGACGAAATACTCAGCAAGCACAGGCCAGTCAGAGGAGAAAATTCGACAAGAAAGCAGCTGGTGCAAAAGCCTACTCGGTGGGATACTACGTATGGGTATTTCAGAACGTTATACCACCGAAAGGAACGAAAAATCTCCTAAAAAAGTGGAGCGGACCTTTCATGATTACGGAATTGCACCAGTAGGGACGTTTTATAGACTGAATACTGGCCGAGCTGCCCAATACGAGAACATTAAGCCACACAGTTCATCGACAGAAGACTGGTGTATACCCGCAGACATGGAAGAAGGGGATTATCTAATGATGGATCCTGCTTGTGAGGTCAACGAGTAGGGCACCACGGAGAAGAACGATGGAAACGAGGTCGTAGAGGAAGGAACAAGTACACCACTGGACCTGGATGCAAACGAGGTGATCGAAGCAGACAATGAAACCTTACCCTACGTAGAAGAAGACTGGCAGGGTCCCGAACAGATGGAGGTTCCCAAGAACTTGGAACCAGATCTTCCGTTAACGATACAGACTCGACAGAACGACGGGCAAGACCCAAAAAGAAATATAACCTTTACGGTGACGACTTTGTAGTAGACAGGATAGATCTGAAAAAGATAGTGGAAGAAGTGGTAGGTCTGGAAGAAATTACAGTGTCACAAGACATCGACATAGTAGATGATCACGACCAGGAATGGATCGAGGACCGGTCGAAACCCGAAGTAGAGTTCGACGACGAGCAAAAGGAGTCCTACGAAAAAAATCTCACAAATCTGCGAGTCTTGGAGTGGCTGAATGAAATGACATCGGACCCCAGATAAACCAGTGTCACGATTCAAGATGAAGATCGTGAAAGCATGAAATACATCAAAAACGAAAGAGATGATCCTTCCTGGGCTGCCCAGGAAGGGCAACTACTCATTCCGGCTTCTAACCTCGACTTGTCATCCGGTATGCGATCGACGGGGACGTCGATGGATATTTTTGTCCGGGGAGTGGGGGTAGGACTTACCCACACTGAAAACTTGATATTAAAAAAAAATAAGAATAGCAAGAGAGACAGGAGACTTAGAAGCAGAAACAAGCGACGAACCTAGGAAAACTGACATAGGGAGGGTAGTTGAGTCATATTTTAACTTAGCAAATGAGTATTCAAGCAACATAATATTAACAGATAGTGATTTCATACTCACAAATAGAACATGTGCGATAGCAACCACAGCAGACATGAGTTTTAGGACAGCGTTAGCGGCAGATTTAAAGAGAGTATATAAAAACGTAGAATTCCTTTGGAAGCAAAGACCAGGAGTAGGGGGCGTAGCAGCCTTGCCTCCGGCGGCATCACAGATAACGGGAAAATACTTACGTTTCTTGGTGACGAGGGCGACGGAGAAGCGGAATGTCGACCCAGAAAACCTAGTCTTGTCCTTGACGAGGTTGAGAGACTTCCTCGTGGAAATGGACGTGAGGGAGCTCTCGCTTCCAGTGTACGATCCGAACAGAGGACGACTGCATCCTCGGGAATTGTACGCGCTTGTACACGTGATATTCTCTGACACTAATATACAAGTATATTTACATAAGAAATATTACTGAAGTATAGGCTGAGTGACTTGTAAGAGGGTGTTAGACTAAAGACTAAATTATGTAGTGTGTGATATTTGTGTTATGTTATGTTATGTGTTATGTTAATAAGATCCTGGGTAAGAAGGAGTTAGTGACCATGAACAACTGAATGACGATCTTAGGAATAGACCCAAAGTTTGGACTGTCCAATTTTAGGTCGAAATCCAAAATTTTAGAGACCGATTGATTTTTATTAATTTTAGGACCAAATCTTTTTATCTGACTGTTTTAAATAAATTTTAACGAGAAGTTAAGGTGAAAATGACAAATTTGATATTCGTGACCTCTTTTCTAGATCTTGATTGATGCTTTAATTGCTCACTTGAGTCAAACCTTTGAATCAAATCGAATCGAACCTGAAAAAGAGAATAGATAAGTTCAACTTGGATGAATTGATGGACCTGGCAAAGGCATATTTAGGACCGATGGTAGATGCGATCTATCGTCGGCTAATGGATCGAGACTTCGCTCTGGAGGACCCAGAGGTAGTCATGCTGCTGACCGCCCTGATAAACATCTTGGGACATGACAACCGTGGGGCCGCCCCAAGGAAGTCCTATTGATGGCAGCATACGGAGAGAGGGGAGTACTAGACCGCCTGAACATGAGAGTGATGAGGTGGAGAAACGGTGTTCTCTCGGGGAGTGACTTGACGAATGAGCCTGGATTGGGAAGTTCTAGGACTTATCAACCAGGTGAAACGCCTTTGCCCTCCAAGCCCAAGCCTGGGCTGACGAGAATGCATCAAGAGATGAACAGCGAGGCTGCCACGTCTGGTTCACCACTGAGAGCAGCTGTGCCACCAAAGGTTGCGAAAGTAGAACAAGGGATTCAAACGAACCGAACCATGCAAGATCTAGATGGGATGAAAGAAAGACGAGCTCGAAAAGACCAGAAAGGAGCTGGACGAGATGACTAGGACCATGCTCAGTACGGAGGAAGATAGGGACATGTGGAAGAGATTGTTCGAAGAATGCAACAAAAAGCAGAGCGATGAAATTGAGCACTTGAGGCGGGATTACAAAGAGCACATGCGTTGACAACAGCCGTGGAGAAGGTGATATCTGCAAGGAGTGGTCCTCGTGGGCAGTTCCCGATGGAGCTCATAACGCCTCAGAGATGAGTCAGACAACGGAAACACGACTCCCGACAACAACAGGTCGAGTGACAATCCCGGACCCTAGTGACACCTTGGGTGACCCAGTCGTGGAACAAACGGTGAGGAGGCTGATAGAGACAGCTGGACGACTAGTCGCCAACAAGAATGCGCCAGGTTCCGGGGAGACTGCACCCTATGGGACAATCGACGATGCGTGTAGAGTACGGCTCTCCCGAAGCGTGATGACCAAAGAGGTAGTTAGCGACACAACGCCACCAATGGGGAGCTCTAAGGTCCCAGAGAGGAAGATACGAAAGATGCCGGCGAACGAAGAAAGTGTCACGGTTAACAGACGTACAAAAGAACAATCAGTTGAGATATAACTTCA